CAATGTTGATCTCCACGTAGTCCATCCGGTTACTCTGCGGGAGGAGCACAGAGTGCGTGGGGACGGGCTCCCGCGCCCGTGGGGGGCCAACCCTCCCCGACCACTCAGCTGCGGGAACTGCTTCCGGTTCGCCCTCGGGCCCCTCTGAAAGACTCTTCTTCAAATGAGGACCCCTCTACCCACGCCTCCCTGGGACTCTGGCAGCTTCCGACTGCCTCAGAACCCGTCACTCGCAGACGGGACAGCCCTTTCGTCCCTGTGAGTGACGTGAGGTCTACCACGCGGCATGATCACAACCCCACACTTCACCAGCACTCAGAACACTCGAAGGGGCACCTTACCAAGTCCTTCACCATGGCTTCAATCTGCTCCCGGGCCACGTTCACATCCTCCGTGGGGCCTTCCAGCGTGATCTTGTCTTCGCCCTCTGTGAACTCAATATGAACCTACCATACCAGGATAAGCAAAGGGACAGTCAAGCCAAAACAGCACGGCGGCCGAGCCTCCAAGATCCGACAGATGCCTTCCTAGGGCAGCTTCACGTGAAGGACTGTCCACAGACACCACAAAAAGGGGGCTGGGGGACAACCATTATTTCGGTACTAAATACTGTGGGGTCTGATCATCTGCCAAAAACGGAATTGCAAAATCCTTCACACTGTGCCTGCCACCGAAACCACTACCTTAAAGCCGATCAGCACTGTGTCTGCCTGTACCGTTCTCGCTTTCGGAACGGCTGCTTAAAGACAGACAGGGGTGCACGTTTAACCCAAGCCAAGCTGCCTGAAGGTGGTCCACAGACAAGCCACTGGCCCCTGGTTTTGTAACATGTCAGGTAAGGAGGTAACACGTGACAGGGCAGTGAGGGAGGCTGGCCCCATGAAGCAACTGCATCTGTGTCAACCAGGACTTTGATCGTAGGAAAAACAAAGTGACTAAAGAACAAATGGGAAACAAACAGGACACAGCACGAAGGACGTGACATCTGGATTTCCATCCTGTTTAAGTTTACTGGGAACCACTGTCCCCTCCGGAAAACTGAGAAGACTCAAGGACAGGGGTATGGAGGAGACAAGGCCTACGAGCCCACATTTCACTGAGTTCTGCTCTGTACAAGTTAGGGACTTTTCATGCATGATAACTAAATGAAACGTTCCTTAAGGTTTTCACTAAACCTAGCAATACGGATTCTCTCTTGTTAAAAAAAAAGAAAAAAAAAGAACATATTTTTTAGAATTTCAAATTTTGAAAAACGTGCCATGGTCTTCAAAGGCACCTGACAAGACAAACAGCATCAACAAAACGAAGGACAGACACAGAGGACAGACCACACGGCCGACAGAGCTCCCCCACCTTCGGCATCTGCTGCGTGACTCTGGCCAGGTTCTGCCCTTTCTTGCCGATGATGAAACGGTGGAGCCAGGAAGGAGCGGACACGGAGGAAACTGTGAAACTGTTGGCCTAGGAAAAGCAGGACAGGACCCTGAGGGTTTGCAGAGCGCAGGCTACGGGGACTCTGGCAGGGGCGCACCCCACCCGACAGGGCGCTGGACCCCTCACCCGGGCTGGAGCTCCCGGGGAACGCTACCTTGGCATAGACCTCAGTCAGCGCCTGCCCCAGCTTTTCGGGCTCGCCACGAAGTATCACCGTCTCCGAGCTGCTGTCGGAGGGTGGGATCTCCACGGAGACTCCCGTCCGTTCCAGGATCTCCTGCAAGCAGTTGCCCTTGGGCCCAATGACGTACTTGTGCTGGGATTTCTTCACCTCCACTGCGATGGTTGTAGTCTTTTTTTTCTAAGAAAGAGCACCATCGGGTGTGAGAGGAAGGGACACAGGAGGGGCAGGTGGGGACAGCAAGTTGCCACCAAAAGAGAGGGAGGGAGATGACTGGCCCCAGGCGGGGCTTCCTCCTCAGGCGCATGCCCCGAGAACGCGAGTCCAGCCCAGACTGACAACAGAGTCCGAGGAGCTGAAAACACCAATTCCTCTCCCCAAATTAAGGAACAAGTCTCAGACCTCGAAGTCACTTACTGGAGCCAACGGTTCACTCTAGACGTGATCGGTTCCGGCCAGTGCGTCCAGCCCCGTGGCAGCCCCAGGCCAGGGCGGTGGGTGAGAGTGGGGGACAGTGGGGACAACGCCCAGCAGAGCTCTGCCCACTCGCCAGGGACAGGGAGATGGAGGGCTGGGCCCTGCCTGCGCGCCACTCCTGCACACGGGGACTGCCCTTACCTTTTCTTCATATATCTTTTTGATCCGAGCCACGGCCTGAGCCAACTGCTCCTTCTCCCCCGTGAAGACGATTTCTGTCCGGTTGACGCTGGGTGGGGGGATGTTGATGCGTGTCCCTGTCTCCTGCATGATCTCAGTGACGAGTCGATTGTAAGGCCCAGCGATGAAGGGGTGGAACGCTTTCTCCACCTCCAGCCTCTCCACAGCGCGTTTGTCCTGGAGAGGAAAGGACGAAGCTGACCGTGGCGCTCGAGGCCCAAGCCGAGGACACGGCTTCCCGGGGTCAAGGCCGAGGCGGCCGCACCTGCTCGGCGGAGATGAGCAGGACTTCGTGGCGCGCCTTCTCGATGCCCTCTTTGGTGCCCGTGATCCTGATCTGGTTACTCGCGTCATCTGGGCGTGGGATCTGGATTTTGGTTGCAGTTTTCAGTTCCAAGTCTTGCAGTTTCTCTCCGTTTTTGCCAATAACAAAGCGATGGTGTTCTTTGGGGATGGCAACAGTCGCTGAGGCCTTTAACAGGAAGAGAACCAACACGTCTGCAGGGTCTGAAAAAGCTGATTTTTCCAGGGTCGTCTCTGGCCTGAGACATGACCGGAAAGCAGGGACACACGGACGTGGCAGACAGTATTTGTTTCCGGAGTACTGGGCTATTTCTTCCAGATGGAAGCCCTACGTCTAATAAAAACTCTTCTCCCCATCTCTTTACAATCAGTTAAAATAACAACTCATCTGAGTAAAGAAAATGGAAATAATCCAAACCCTTCATCCCATGTCAAACTGCCAGAAATCCAGCAACTTCCTGAGGTCACAGAGTAACCTGGGAGAAAGGCGGAGGCTTCATTTTCCTAACTCTGCACAGCTGAGAGCCCGTGTGGTAAGGTTCCCACCAGTGGTGCAGCAGAAAGCACAGATCGGCTAGCTTCCCTTTTCCCCACGGGGCACAATTTCACAGTAGACTATTCGACATTCACAACAGAAATGTGAAACTGTGTCACAGAGGCAATCAAAAAGGCCCGCACTTCCCAGCTAGCGCAGAAAGCAGGACCACTGGCCCTTATGCTATGATGCGATGAGGCTCATTCCACAAACCGGTTGTTCAATATTCGGAAACCCATTTATGTAATTCATATTATTAGACGTATGGAGAAAAAAATCAAATGATCACCCCCACAAAATGTAAACCCACTCATGACAACAATCTGCCAGAAAACAGAGACCAAGGGACATACAGCTGGCCCTTGACCAACGCATCTCTGACCTGCACTTACACGCAGATTTTTATTTTATTTTTCACATGACGAAACACACACATGCTCCTCGGCCCAAAGCTGCAGTTAACGGGCAAGCGCTCGCGAGGGCCGTGCACTGCCCTGCCCACAGCACGACCTGGCCTCCCCGCAGGAGACAGCGAAGCAAACACATGGCTGGGCAGGAAGCGGCTCAGGGCTGCATTGCCAGGAAGCGAATCTTGGGGACACCACCAATGCTTCACTGCGGCCTTGCTGCCTGGAGCAGGGAGCTGAAAGTGGGATCCAGAGTCGACAGCTTCAGCTTAGCTAAACACCAGCCACAAAACGCAAAGGAAAAGGCCGCCCATTTTCCAACAAGCAAAAGCAAAAAAAAGGACAATGAAGGAGCCAGACACAAAGCCAGCAAGAGAGGTGGAACGTGAGCGTTAGGAAGCCGAAAACAGCCCTTAGAAGATCTAGCGCAACTCTTAGCAAAAGGTTAATTAACATCCATTCAAATCAGTGGCACTGATGACTGGACAGACATAGAAACAGATGAAACCGGACCTGTACCTCGCACAATCCATGGTAAATTCCACACAGATCAGAAACGTAATACCCTGAACGAGCACCAGAGAATATACGAATAAACTTTCTTACAACCCAAAATGTAAAAAGCTTTCCAATAATGATTCAAAATAACAAAATGTTTAAAGAATTTGACTGACGGAGGGTTTTTAAGGGGACCCCTAACACACTGAGCAAGATGGACGACTTGAACCTGATAGAAAAAGATGACAGGACAGTGCGCAGAGAGTACGCGCAGCCCCAAGGGAGGGACCCGGCTGTCAGGGCAAAATGACACCTATGTGCCCCTGTGACTCGGCTACCTCACGCTTCTAGGGCACCTGTGCTGAGACACACTGGGTGAAACAGGAAACAGCGCGTGCACAAGGCTTCGCTGCGACAGAGCTCATCAGAGCAGAGTCGGGAAGCCACCCCAATGGCCACCACAGGGATGCTCGGTAAGTAGAGCGTCGGGCAGCCATCTAGAAAGGCGAAGGAAGTCATTTTTTGCAGACACCTCCAAAAATACGTAGGGAAACACGAGGTGTGGACCAGCGTTCATGGCGAGCATCTTTGGCTTCTATTCTCAAAGTCGAACAATGGAAGGGTACACCGAAGACTAAGGACGTCACCCAGCAGGGAAGGTGGGACAGGACAGGGTGAAGCAGCCGTCTTTGGATGTCCCTGATTATACAGCTTGCGGTCGTTGAATGTTTAAGTAACTTTTAAAAATTGAAAATAAACTAACGCAAATGACCCTAACCGTGTATCAAGATGACAGCATAACTAAGCACCGAGAACCACTTCAAGTGACTGTAAAACCCCATGGTCTTTCACCTTAACTAGAAGTACTAGGTTGAGCTCATTGAATTTCCTGGTAAAAACGTCCAGATTTCTTAGATAAATGGCTGACCCCAGGTCCATGGGCGGAAACAGTTAAGGTCCATCCACACTTCTGTCAGAAACAAGGACGTGACCGGGGATGAAGGAATAGTCTTGTCCGGAAGCTCCAGGGGGCCGGCCGGGAGGGCCCCAACCACTGGCCAGAGACACGGCAATGTCAGCCCAGAGGGCACCTGGTGCACACGTCACCAGCGGAGACGGGAGTGCACCAATTCAGTCTAAAACCTGAGGGGAGAGGGACACGGCTCAGTTATAACCCGCACTCCCCACGCGACAGCTGAGGAGAGAGCCCTCCACAGGGACACCGACTGAGGCAGGACGAGCAGCTGCGAAGCCGCCACTCACAATTCTGACGGGTCAGGTGGCCGAAAGCGATGCGTGAGAACGCCTGAGCAAAAACTGACCGCAGGCTTCGTGACGGACGGATTTGGCTGAGGGCACCTCTGTCCCCGATCGATCTTGGAACCAAACCAAGTACACGGCACCTCCCACAAGTTCTCTTGCCAAACAAACGAGCTGAGCGAGAAAGTAATCGAGCCCCTAAACCAAACCACCAGGTCACAGGAGAGATGATGCGTGGGAGCGAACTGGACACCTGCTTGTCCCACAGCCAAACGGCATTAGGAAAAGGGGCGGAGGGGGCAGCGCCGAAGAATGAGGACTCGAGGTGCCACGAGCACACACAGCAGGCACTGACGTGCACACACCATGTGGGCAGATGCCTTTGAGATAATGACAGCGGACCGCATACAGACGGAAGTGGATACCGATGGATCAAGAAATTACTACTAATTTTAATAAGTGCACTAACAGCGCAGTGCTTACAGAAAAAAATGGAAGACTGAGGGGCACCGCGCTGAATTATTTACAGGTGAATGCACATCTGGGATTTGATTTAAAGCAACTGGGGTCGAGGGGCAGGACGAATGAAGCCGGTCGGGGACGAATGTTTTCAAAGGGTCCCCTCCCCGGTCCAGTGCTCAATCACAAAATATTCAAATATTCACCAACTAGTAGATAACAGCAAAAGTCTCAGAATGCCACAACGTGAAGCACTTTGTACACACTTTCCACTTCCTGAATTTAATGACAGACCTCTCTGAAGCCGGCAGGGTAGGGGGCTGGCCCAAGGCCCATGGGCTGAGGGAGGGTGAGAGCTGGCTGGCGTGGGGTGGAGCTGCTCCTCCCTGTGAAGCCGGCCCATGGCCCTCCGCCTCAGACCCCGTCTTCAGACTGCATGTCCGCAGGTGGTGGGAAACACCCCCGTTTCTAACGAAAACCACGGAAACTGTATCTCTCAGATGACATCTAATGATGCTTGGTCTCTACGTGACTCCTGTCCGGGAGAAGTGCACCACAGGTCTACTCACTAGTCCACGGGTTTCCTAAGAAAGGCCAGCACCGGTGCTGGCCCGCAGCGGACTACGGAACCGGTCACCTCCCGAGTCTGAGGCCTGGAACTGCGTGCTCACCAATGAACCACGTGCCGACTCTCGTGCCTTGCACTTGGAACGGCAGCCTGACACCGGTGTCCTTACCACACCACTGAACAAGCTCAGTTCAAGAGCCTCAAACCCTGGGACACTTAACTTCCGGTTCATTCGCCTGAACAGCACGAATGGCAGGTGTCCCAGTTCTGTTACTGCACCAGTAGGTTTCCACCAAAAATGCCAGGAGACCCCAAATGCTGCTGCCTGGCTGACCATGGCCTGGCCTCCGAGGGAAGGGTCGGAGGCAGCTGGGGCCGTGGCCGGCGACCACCCACCTGCGTCTGCAGTCTTGCAACGATGTCCTTGCGGGCTTTCATGACGGCGTCCAGCTTCCCGGAGACCATGATGGAGAGGCCCTGGTCTTTGGCAAGAGACAGCTCCAGGTGGGCGCCAGTCCGCTGCATGATCTCGAGGCAGATCTTCGCTTGTTCGCCTTCTCCAAACTGGTTCATGTCCTTGTACTTCCTCTCCTCCAGGGGCACGTGGAACACCTGCGCAGGGGCGGGCAAGCAGGAAGGCGAAGCGATACGGGAGGGAAGGGCGGCCGTGTCAGGGTCCGGCGCCCAGCGGCCGAGTCTGCGCATTCCCTCGGTCCCCGCCCCCCACCGCTGCTCTGAGGCCAGAGAGCAGTCCAGAGGGGCACAGAAAGGCCCCCTGGTGAAGCGGCGAACTACGACCCAACGCGAAGGAACTGCAAGGGCGCCTCAGGTAACGGCAAGTGCCGTGAGGGGAACAGACAGGGCGGTGCGGTCGGCGAGAGGGGCTGGGTGGAGGGACCTTCCGCAAGAATCAGAGACGCAGCTATCCTGGGAGGCGAGGAGGGGTGAGAGACAGGGTGAAGGCATTAACAGAGAGGCAGCTCGGGGAGCAGTCGGAGCGGGGCGGGGCGCAGGTCCCTCAGCTCGCCTTCAGGGAGGTGAGACGCCAAGGAAGGGCTTCAGCTGGGCACACTCACGGCTGGTTCAGGGTCCCCCCAGCTGCTCCGTGCAGGAAAGGGTGGAAGCAGGAGGAAGCAAAGTGACCCCCGGTTTGGGGCCTGAACCATTAAGTAGAACATGGTGCATTTAGCAAGGTCAGGAAGACTGGGGAGAGCCCGCTCCATCTCAGATGCCCCCAGGAAGGCAGAAGACCCAGGATGCATTTGCTATGAGTCTCGGGCTTAGGGAAGGGGCTCTCTCAGTGCACATGGCCCAACATGAATTCACAGAGAAGCGCTGAGCCTGCCAACACCCCAGGTTCAGGTGGCAGGGTGACGTCGGCTAGTGGTGGTGGGAAGGCCAGAAAAATGGTGACACCGAAGCCAAAAGGATAAGATTGCTTCAAGACAGTGGGACAAGAGGTAGACCAGACAGATAGGTTCCCGCGGGGGCCGGCGACGTAGAAGGCCAGGGCAGCTGGAGCAGACACTAGACTGCAGAGGACCGAAAACCGGTGGGACGTGGGGAGCCTCAGGTGGCTGTGCCCTGGGGAGCTGCCCCAGGGGTGGGGGCTGACTTAAATTGTCACATCCCAAAGCACTCTCTTCTCTGCAGGCTCCGACCCCCTTTCCTGAGACGCCGCCGCCGCCCCCGCGGAGGGACAGGGGAAGACCACCGGCTCCTACCTGAGTGATGACAGAAGCCTTGATGGGCCGGATCTTGTTACCCCAGGCGCCGGCAGGTTCCTGCGTGCTCTCCGAGCAAGGTGCTTTCTCAGGCAGCGGGGGGAAGGCATCCTTGTAGGTCGGAGGGTCACTCTCTTCTTCTGAATTCAGAGTGGCAACTGAACCAGCCAACATAGATCAAGAGGAAGTACACTGCCTTCAACGTCAGATGGAAAAGCACTTGGAGAGTTTAAGGTCAAAAAAAGAACACTACCTGCTCGAGTAACAGCTCCCCCATCTCCTCGTTCAGTCATGGGAAGGGCCCCAAGAGGCCACCAGGCCGAGCACCTTCAGGTTCAGTGTGTGGACCCAAGGGGCCAAACCCTGCCCTTGGCACAGCCTCCCTTGTACTGGTGTCAGCTCGGACACTGGGCGCCCCACTCCTCCCCTGATGACTGAGCCCCTTGAAGGCAGTTTTTGCACAGAGATTTTTATGCCCTGAAGTCTTCTAATGCTGCATTTAAAAAGCACAGGTACAACAATGCCCCGCACAGGGCACACCCTGAAACTGCAGAGCGAAACAGAGGTTCGGCCGGGCGCGGCTGCGAGAACTGCCTGTCTCTACAACACTGAACGGAGCTCCTGTCGGGACTTCCGGTCTGAGCTCCCCCACCCCCTGCAGGGAGCACCTGTGGGATCCAGTGCCCTAATCACTACCCAGGTCCGCCCTGCATCGTGCCCTCAACGTTCAGGTTTTTGTCCCAATAACCAAGGCTCCATGAAAGCAAGAGTGTGAGTGTTTTGGATCAGCCCAAGTGCCTGGGGCTGAGCGTCCTGTGTGGCAATGGCAGGGCCCTCTAAAAAACCACTGTGAATGGACCTGAGCACAGGGCAGGCGGACGGCCCTTAGAACCAGGTGGGCCGCCGTCGTCTGACTCGGTTTACCACCACTTGTAGCCGGGTGGCTGTGCTACCCCAGACACTGACGAAGTAGCAGTCAGTGCCCTGCATCCGGCCATTTAGACAGGGGGATGATGCAGACCCACAGGGCTGCTGGTTCAGCTAGAAAGACCCAGTCCCGTAGGCACTCAGAGACAAGTGACCAGCAGTGCCTAGGTCACCAAGGCCCTGGAAATGAGCATGTGACACGTGGCCAGAGTGAGTGTCACAGTGAATTTTTAATCTTAATAACATTGAACCTAAGGACTGATACTAAGTTCAGCTACTAGAAAACTTAGGAATATCGGAATAATTTGGAGTACAGTAATTTGCTCTTTCACCTGAAAATCTTATCAAATCTAAATATAAAGGATTTTAGAGGAAAATCTAGCATTCAAATCAAGTTGTCCTGCAGTTGTAAATACATACCAGCTCCTCAAGGAAACAAAGAAAGTAAAAGATCAGTCTTACTTCTACCTTAAAGAGATGTTAAAATGGCAATGTTTTAGGCCTCCTGGCTTGTATGCTATTCCTCTGGGACACTAGTGTCCTCGATCTTGGCCTGCTGCGTTAGAGAACTCACGAGTCAGGGCCCAGTGCTCTGGGGACGCTTCACAGCCCAGATTCAGGTCCACCCAACTGTGGAACAGCAGCTTTGAACAGCAGCTTTGAACAGAGAATCCCACTAGTTGCCAATGGTCAAATTCACTGGCTTTGCAGAAAGCTGTCCACGTCTTAAATCTCACTGTGCCCAGCTTCCCCCGTTGCTCATGGCCACGTGCACCCTGCACACAGGGTAGTGCAAAGCACAGCAAACGAGCTTTTGCCCCTGGCCCTATCCCACACCTACAAGATCAAAAGGTGCTTTTGGAAGGCCACATATTTGACAAGGGCTGGGAGGGAAGGGTGTCTGAAGAGCCCGTGAGAAGAGCATGGAGGGGCTGTCACCTCTGATCTGTTGCGGAACCAGCCCACTTCGGTGCTCAGCAAAGCTCTCTTGGGTCAAAACGGCAACGGAGCTCATGGTTGATCTGGCGCCTACACACAGTCCGGTGAGCCACTGGAGTGGGGGGAATGGGCCAGAGAGAAGGAAGTCAGGGCACAGCTGGCTCTCAGCCATCTGCGAGACTGATGAGCTGTGAGCTTCAAACAAGAATTCAATTTGCCTCACAATCGCTAATGTAAGGTGACACTCCAACTTTCACCCAGTGAAGAATGCAAGTAAAGGAGGGTCCTTGGACAACTGTCCCCTCAAAAGCTGCCCTGGAACTGGGGAGATGGAGGCTCTGGCGGAGAGGACCAGAACCAGGATTCCCCGGGCAAGGACAATCTGCACGCCACCCAGGGGCCCACTGGAACCCACCACGTCTGACCTAGCGACACAGATCGACATCTGGATAACTCTATCAGCTCTGTTACTTCTGAGGCTCATGAACCTAGCACCTGACAGCTAATCGCACAGCACAGGGCCGTGAACTGAGCAGCCCCTTATTGCTGACAGTGACTGGGGAGGTGGGGACAGACAGCCTTACAGTGCTGGTGGAAACGAGCGGTAGCAGGAAACAGCAGGAACTGCCCAGGGGAGGGGCATTAAGTGCCTCTGACACATGCGGATGGGTTTTTCTCCAGTCTCCTGTTACCCAGGTGTGGGAGGTGAACCTGGCAGGCCACAGAGTTCCTCAGGGCAGGAACCAGACACCACCGAGTGCCCTCCTGACCTCCTGCCCTCGAAGCCACAGCCCCCGTCATTTGGAAAACGGGGCTCATTTCACACTGAGGCGGGGGGTGTCAGCTCCTTCCCCAAGTCTGGGCGAGCCCGGGGCTGCTACAGTGAGCAAGAACCCCTCGTCACACAATCACGTATGGAGTGGCTCGCACCACCTTGGAAAGAAGGATAAGGGGGCCGAGTAATTTAATTAGAAGAGAGAATTTTTGCATCTGTTTTTTTACGACTTAGTAAGACCTCTCTAAATTCAAGAAAATTAAGCTGTACATTAAAGAGGCAAAATCCAAATTCAGATAATCCTGAGCAAACATTATTCACATTTAAGAAGAAAAAGGTAAAAATAGATGGAAGCAGATGACACATCTGAAGGGCACGCGTGGACACGAGTGACGCTCTCTCCAGAGCGACTAGAGACTTAAGGATGAAGCGTGACGAAAAAAATGCACACACGGCCGGGGGACAGGAAGCCTCCGGACAGGACAGTCAAACTTACCAGCAAAACGGTCAACAGCCAGGAAGTCCGTCCCGAGGCCACCTGGGTCAGCCCGCCAGCTCCTGCTGGTGTGGGGCGGGGAGGCAGAGGGAACAAGGACCAGGGAACAGTTACTTATCTGTACCCTACAACCCAGATCCTTCTGCATCCCAACTAGAAAAGGTCAGAACGTTACTTAAACTTTACTGATACTTAGGCAATCTTCTTGGGGAAAAAAATGGAAGCTCCGGTCCTAGGCCATTCGCTTCAAACAAAACGTATTCGAGTAAAATCTGAACCATCTAGGACTTTGACAGAGTGACTTTTCCAGGGACCTGAGGGGGTGATCCCATAAGTACCAAAACTTTTAAGGTTCTGTGACATCGAGTGTGGACCTTGGGGGTCCATTCTAACCAGGTCACAAGACAGCAGGGTTGGAAGGAACCTTCCACGGCAGCCAGGGGAAACCAAGAACTGCTCTGTGAAATAAGAGGGAAGTCCTCAGGGGACTTCGGGATACTGAGGCTGCCAGGTAGGCTACCTGCCGCTTTATGCAAAACACCACACCACACGCACTCGATAAGGTGTGATAAGCTAGGCGTGGGTCTAGAGTGGGAGAATCGACGACAGTAACAGAACACCCTACCTGACTGGAGAGTAACACCCCCAGATTCCCACCCACAGCACCCACGGTTCAGGAGCTAGGGAGACAGTCCATGGCAACTGGAGGGCTATCAGAAGACGCTAGATTTAAAAGCATCTTACTGTCCCAGCTGCGCTGGGGATCTATGGCGCTTCAGGATTTTTAAAAATCTCAACGCAGGGCTTGAGTTCCACGGGAAAAACACTACCACCCCCAGGCCAGAGCCTCGGTCCCACCGGGTGCATAGATGCACCAAGCGAAGGGGAGATGGTGCAGCAAACTGGCCGCGACTACCCATTTCGGAATTGTCTCCAAAAATTCTAACATGAGAGTTTTAAAGATCAAGGCGAGGACAAACACCTTGCCATGGAATCAGGGTATCAGAGGAACACATCCACACAGCTGGCTGACAGGTGTAAAAGGTGACAGCTCCCTGAGACTCCCAGGGTCTGGCTTGCCCACACTTAGCCAGGCCAGAAGCAGGACGGGATGCTCCAGGTCCAAACACTGATAGGGGAGCCAGGCCCCAAGCCTCCAACGCACCTTACTGGGGCTGCCCACGACCTTCCACCCGAACAGCCTCCAACTCCAGGGTGTCCCAGGCACCAACGTCATTTCTTAAAATCCATGAAAATCTACCCCTTAACAAACCAAGCTCGCCCCATGACCACAGCTGCGTCCAGACCCTCTCCTCTGCGCTGCCACTGACCAGTCCTCTCGTTTTCCTGGGCAGGCCTGTCTTTAATGCCCGGTGATAGGCACACCACAGCCTGTGTACAGAAACTGCCCACGTCTGCTCCAGCCATGGATCTGTGACAAGCCAATCCCCACCTGCACCTGGCGTCACGTGGAGGTGGAACGATTCCTGCAGCCTTCCTCTGACATTGCTCACACATGTTTCAGAAGTCCTGGCCAGATAGCCCTTCTACTGAGCCCTCGGTGTGAGTGGCTTAAGCAAGAGGCAGCACCACAGCCAAAGCTCACGCAAGGGAGGGCGAGCCTGTCAGATCCTCTGGCGCCCCACGTGAGCACAGCCCCTGGGCGGTTGAAGAGGGGCAGAGGGACCTCTAGAAAACTGCAGACTGGTTTGACAGGGTACACTGGGTCTCCAGTCTCCAGATTTCAAATGGCAGTTTGAATCTGAAATGTCACAGCTGAATGGATTAAATGGAGCAATAGATTTAACATCTAAGGTTCTGATATCATCAAATGAGACTACTGTTGTTCTTATAAACGTCTCAAAACCCCATCTTTAAAGAATCCATTTCAAACATGCCTCTGATGACCCATGTGCAAATGCAGACCTCAGCCCCACCTGAGGCTCGGGTCAGGTCTGATGATAGCTAGCACTCACCCCCACCCACTGGCTCTAGCTCTCCTTCCCCAGAAAGCACCCAACAGATGGACTCCTGCTCCACGCAGACCTCACCACAGAGAGCTGGGCTGGGCAGACTCTGCGCCCAGCTCCTTCCTTGCTATCTGTAGTTCCCAGGAGGCCTCAGACAGGCCCCAGGCCCCGGTCTCTACAGAGGCCAAACATCTGTGATCAGTCCCTCACTGGATCTAATAATGCTGCTCAAATCGGGATGGAAAGGGACCTCACACAGCACTGTCCTGCAGTCTGTGCACTATGAGGGACAGGGATTCCAAGGGAGCCCGCGCCCCACCTCTGTCCTCCTCTGTGCAGCTGTCACGTTGTGCCCAAACCTACAACTTCTCTGCCCCGTCCGGCCACAGAGAACAAGTCTGCTCTCTCCCACCAGACTCCTTCGGGTGCCTGAAGCCCTTTCTACCTCCTCCAGTTATTCCCAAGACGGCCCAGTCCCTCCGTCATTGTCATCGCTCTCAACTCCTTCCCCTGCACAAAGCAGGCAAGTCCACCCGAGACAAATCTCAAACTATTCTCAACCTGCACTTTAAGCTTTGTTTCTCAAAGTGTAAATGTCCACAGCAAAAAAAGCCACATCTCAAATTAAAAGTACGCAGCAAACAGAACTAGAAGAGGAGAGTAGACAATAGTCAGGTTCTTCTCTTCCACCCCAGGGCACTGTCAAGCACTGTGGACTCCCCATGTTGGAGATGTGGCATCACCACATATGTGGATCACATCTGAAACTCGGTCCTAATAAACGCATAACAGGAAAGTCTTTAAATGAAGGGCTATACTTTTCTGCTTCTGAACAAACAACTATAAGATTCCTTTGTGACATTCTGCCAACTATATATTTAAAAGGAAAAGTCTTTGCAAAAAGAGGACCCGTGAATAGTAGTCAGAAAGAATGTCACCTCTGCCAGTAACGAGACCCTGAGTGCTCTCAACACTCTTCGTACAGACAGGACCGGGTTCGGAGGGCCTCAGAAACCTCCCGCCAGCATCCAGGACTTTGCCCTCTCTGCTTCCAAAACTGAACTTACTTTTATCCCCACAGCAAACTTGCAATGGAAACTTTTTTCAAAGTACTTCTCAGGACCCCCAAATCAGACTCGCGACTAAAACCATAAAATCCGATGGGCTGAAAGATCACAAGGCCCAAGCCTCAGAAAGACCGAGCATACGAGGAGCATACGAGGCCCGCCGAGTGGCGAGCAGAAGGCTGCGTGCGTTTCGCCAACTTCTGCAAGTCGGCACCATCCAGCAGGAGGAACTTTCGCAGATGCCACCTCAGCACGGCCCTCCCACAGGCCACGCGAGCCCGCGGGCGGGGACAAGCTTAAAGGGGCAGGAGCACGCTCAGCCTCCCCGCCTTCCATCCAAATTCGGTATTTTTCCGTAATGTGATTTTCGTCCGGGACCCTGGGGCGCATCCAAGTCGTGCTCCAGCCGGAGGAGGGCAGCGGGCCCAGCCCGGACCGGGCGGCAGGTGGAGGTGCGGCCCGCATGCTAGCCCCCTTCCCCCCTCCCCGCCGCTGTCCCGGGGCTCTCCTGCGGGACAGACACCCGTGACACCCCTGCTGCAAGCTGGGGAGGGGGTCCCTGGGAGGGGAAGGGGGCACAGCCAGGCCGCCCACGTCACCGACCTGGGTCCAGGTCGGCCGCCCCTCCCCCCGCGCTGGGACCGGTGGGGAGGGCACGGGGAACGTGACCGGGCCCCCGCTGCCTCGCTGTCGCTGCGGGGCTGGCGAGGGGCCGGCAGGCGCGGGACTCGGGAAAGTTTCTCGCTCTTCCCTTGCCAGCGCCGCGGCCCATGCGCAGTGGTGACACGTAGCCGGCC